TTTCAACATAATCTCCTGTAATAGTTATACGCTTGTCCTACTAATTTTTTTCCAACACTAAAGAAATCTCTTCGAGAAGTCTTCTCTTTTCTGCGCTTTAATGGCTATTAATGCTACAAGTAATAAATCCTTTGTGATAACTCGAAATTAAACTTTCTAGAAACTTTGGAACTCTGAAAATTCTGTCAACCTATTCAGGTAGAAATTGTGTCCAATCATTTGATCTATAGTTAGGAAATTCTTTACGATTTGTCCTTTTCTGTTTGTCGTTTCATTCCATAACCGTTCGTTTTTGATGAAATCAAAACTGTAATAGAATGGAAATTTCATAGTTTATAATATTGGAACTATAACTGGATCAGTTATATTATTTTTGGTTTACGGTTTTTTTTCGATTTTTACTCTATATTTTATTACTTTATTAATTTTTAAAGTAGTATAAAAAGCATTTATTCAGAAATATAGTATTATGTTATTAATTATAAAAGAAATGTCAAACTTGGGCCTTAATAATAAAAAATTATTAAAATGTAAATTAGCTATGTTGACCCAGAGATGTTAGATGCTCAAAAAATAATAATTAACTAAATTATCAATTCAAACGTTTCGGCACATTTATTTCGGCCATCTTCAGTGATAGCATAGAATCATAGTTCTCAGTTTCTAGTATCATTTACATTACAGTTCTATTCAGAAACAATTACTAAACTATTTGTTTATAATTATTATGTCCGCCAACAGTGCCTAAATATGATATGCTAGCGTCACTATGATTCTATGCTCGTACAAACCCAGAACTATCGCTAGTAACGCTAGCATATTACATTCCAGCGCGTGAAATGCTTTTAGTAATGACAAGAAATTTTTTTTATTGTTCTTATGGCCAGAACTATTGATATGATGGGTTGAAACGGTAGAACTCTTTGAATACTCGCACTTTATGGCTCATACGTTCGAAATCCGGTGAGATGCTAAAAGATGCTCAAACGGGAAGTTAGCATCTCATTTCTTGAAATTTCATTTTCTTGTTTTTTTGGCGTAATTTGATAGAACTATTGCTAAAAACTATCCAGAATTGTAGAACTATAGTGTATGCGAGCAGAACTGTCGTTTTTTCATGCGATGCCAAAAATATAATATGCTAGCTTTCACACACGTCAGAAAAGTACTTTTACCGTTTTGCAATATCAATAATTATTGAGATAAAATTAAAAACGATTGGAAAACTGTAAAGGACTTTTATGTTCATTCTCCTTATTCTTGTTATTCTTTTACTAGACTATTCTATTTATTCTTAACTGCTCACGAATGTTGATCATTATTTTGAAATACCCTATACACTATATTTCTTTCTATTTTATCAAATTTTTAGAAGAAAAGGCAGAGACAAAATAAAATTAATATATTATAACAAAGGAATTTTACTTTGAAAGAAATATAAAAGAAATCTAAAAGGTAATTGTTCTTTTATCTGTAATTTATAATCCTGATTTATAATCTTTTTGTTTGTCGACATTCTTTTACTATGGTTTTGAATTGTTCGACAAATTTCTTTAGAAAATCTGGAAATCTTTCTATTCGATTGAAAATTAAATTCTATGTAGATTGAGGTTCCGAATTAGCGAAACAATATAATCAATAGAGGCTTAATTTACACCGATTGTTTAGTACGCGTACCAAATACTAAATCTGCTTCTGCGATAGGTATAAATCGTTTAGTGTAAAATCTACACCAATCAAAGAAGCTGATTTAGTACTTGGTCGCGTACTAAACAATCGGTGTAAACTAAGCCATATACCCGAGTCGAAATTTAAAACCCATTATAAACCTCATAC